TCGTCAACAAGGTAAAGCAGAGCTGGTAGCAGGTGGGTCCCTGCACAGTTGGCCCAGAGTGACAGTGTCCTCTCTGTCCCATAGCTCATTCAGTTTCTGATATCGCTGGTGCAATCAAATCGGATCCTGGGAGTGAAGAGAAAGATGTAAGACACTGGGAATGCCTACATCCTCCACGTAGGCTTGGGTATCCTTACCATTCTTGTTGCATCCTGGCAGATGGCTAATTCCGCACTTCTCCTGCAGCCCCCTGATGTTGAGCGACAGCAGTTCAGCACACTCTGTGCCCAAGTACGCCCGACAGTACTCCCTGGAACGTGTCCATGGTCCGGGCTCATATTCGGTATGCATCCAGCCAGATGGCACAGCCACCAGGTGTGGGGGACACTGTGGGTCTGTGCTGCCACAGGCCACAGGTACACCTGTATGTGGCCACTGCCTCTGATTCTAGGCTTCATCACCGGCCTACAGCAGCTCCAGCCTCTATGCCCCAGATTCTGTCACCAGCTCGGGACCCATAATCTCTGACATCACAGAGCTGGCTCCCACCAGCCCCCTGGCCACCTCAGGCAGGAGCATAAATGAGAGGTAAGCCATGTCACCAGCCCTCCTGTTCCTCTTTGGGCCCAGGGCAGAGTTGGGAGTGGTGGAGCCAGCTGGGGCTCCTTCTGACATCCCCCCTATGTCCAGGCCCCTGTCCAGCAGCCCTTTGGTACATGTCAAGGAGGAACCCCCCAGCCCACCTCGAAGCCCCCGGGTGGAGGAGGCGAGTCCCGGGCACCCGTCCTCTGTAGACACTCCCTTGTCCCCGACTGCCCTCATCGACTCCATCCTGCGGGAGAGCGAGCCTGCCCCTGCCACCTCAGCCACAGCTGTAGTCTCCACTGAAGCTAGAGGCCACGCCCCCTCGCCCACACCCCCTTCTGCCTCTGAGAAGTGCCTCAGCGTTGCCTGCCTGGACAAGTGAGTACTGCTCCTGTGCATGTAGCCTGGGCCTTTGCTGGGATGGTGGGCAAAGCAAGGCCTGTTGGCACAGTTTGCTGAGGGTGAGTGGGGCACACCCGAGTCCCACACTCACATACAGACCTCAGAGTTTGGGGCTGGGGGAGAGATGAGTATTACCAGGATCACCACAACTCCCACTCTACAGGAGCCAAGGGTACATGGCAGGACCCCATTTTCCTAGGAGCCCCTGCCCTCTGGGGCACTTTGCTGCTGCCATCACCCCTCCTGCAACAAAGCACAGGGTCCTGGTATCTGTCATGCTGCACATACTGGGGCAGGATATGGGGAGTGAGGGCTCAGTCTTGACCACCCCTCAGGCCCTGCCCCAGAGGCTGAGTAAGCGAGGGTAGTGGGCACAGACCCCCTCCCCCGGCCTCTGCCTGCAATGGGGGGGCTCTTGTCTTTGTATCTTGCAGTTTGGCTCGCACTCCACAGATGTCTGGGGTCGCCCGCCTCTTCCCCTGCCCCTCTTCTTCCTTTCTGCATGGCCGAGTCCAGCCAGGGTTAGCGCTGCCCCCAATGGGGAGGGAGGAGGGCTCTGCTAGAGCTCGGGCCCTTCCTGCAGCCACGGACCAAATCCCGACCTGGGTATAGCACACTTCACTTTGGTGGAGGGCGCCCAAGGGGATAGCCTCTCAGGCTCTGCATCTTCACCAGCTCCCCTGGGTATAGGCCAGTGGCTGTCACTGGAACAAGCTCCCACCTGGCCTGGGCACCAATTCAGGCAGGATCTGAGCTTGGCCTCAGGGTGGGGTGGACCCTGCAGCACTTGTGGACCCAGCCTAACTGCCCTTCCCATGGTCCAGGTGTGCCCAGTGGCCTAGGCCCTTCTGAGTCAGCAGAGGCTGGGATGTGGGGGGCAGACCCAACCACACTAAACACAACCCTGTCTCCCCTCTTTGCTGTCTTTCCAAGCATAATGCCAAGACCTTGAGCCTGAAAAACTGTCCCCCTCCCATTTCTAGAGCTGACCCACTTGGCCCAGCTATTCTCACCAAGGACACACACACACACACGGTCCCCCCCCCAGTCCATGCTGGCTGTATATAGGGGCCCCGCCTGGGGTGCTACCAAGTGGAGCCCTTCCCCCAAAGGAACATGTCTTGGTGGGGGGGAACCTAGGCCACTGGTTTACCTGCCCTCACCTTGGGCTAGGAATGAGCTCAGTGACCACCTGGATGCCATGGACTCCAACCTGGACAACCTGCAGACCATGCTGACCAGCCACGGTTTCAGTGTGGACACCAGTGCCCTGCTGGACGTGAGTCTACCCCGCTCCACCTGCCCTGACCTACCTGGCCAGTGAGCAGCCCTGACTACCCTCCCTCCCTCCCACAGCTGTTCAGCCCCTCCGTGACCATGCCTGACATGAGCCTGCCTGACCTTGACAGCAGCCTGGCCAGCGTGCGTAGGCGGGCAGGGTGGGGGGCAGCAGGGCCCCACAGCAGCCCTCATGGTGCCTCTTCCAACCCACAGATCCAGGAGCTCCTGTCTCCCCAGGACCCCCCTAGGCCTCTTGAGGCAGAAAACAGCAGCCCTGACTCAGGTGAGCAAGCCCTATGCCACCTTCCCCTACTTTCTCCTTCTTCCTGCCCACCCCACACCTGACCCCTGCCCCACAGGAAAGCAGCTGGTGCACTATACGGCGCAGCCCCTGTTCCTGCTCGACCCAGATGCTGTGGACACAGGGAACAGCGAGCTACCTGTGCTCTTTGAGCTTGGGGAGGGCTCCTATTTCTCCGAGGGGGATGACTACACAGATGACCCTACAATCTCCCTGCTGACAGGCTCTGAAGCCACCAAAGCCAAGGATCCCACTGTCTCCTAGAGAGCCCAAAAAGAGGCAGGCTAGCCTGGGCCCTGCCCCCGACCCAAGGACAGGACATAGTCCTAGGGTGCCCTGGATCAGCCTCCACAGCCCCAATAGGGGCACAGCAAAGGGACTTGGGGCTGAGCAGTGCCTCAGGTCTGATGAGGGTTCTGGGGCCTGCACACTCACTGCCCTGGCCCCACCCTGGGAGTCCTGCTTTGGTTGGGGCTTCACAGCCACACTTTGGACTGATCCTGCAGATTGTTTATAGAATTGTATTTTGGATTTTTTACATGAGGGCTCCCCTTCCCTTTCACAGAGAAATATATAAACACAGACAGACGGACGGACAGATGGACAGGCAAGACTGACAAAAATCTATAAATGGACAAGCTCTGTGCTGGGGCCTCCCGTTTCTTCTTGCCCTGGGGTGATGACGGAGGTTCAAGTGCAAGGGAGGGGCCCAAGGTACAGAGGTCACTGTAGGCCTGGGCTTTAATGGCCTTGGAAGTAGGCAGATGCCCAGGGAAATTTTTTACTCAGTTCTTTATTGAGGGGCCAGGGAAAGGCAGTGTGGGTGGGTTGTCAGCTGGGCCTCCTTTCCTGAAGTGTCCACTCAAGAATGGAGACATAAGGCCGGAGATTTAGCTCAGTGGTGCCGCCACCTGCCTCAAAAGCACAAGGACCTGAGTTCAATCCCCAGTACCCCAAAAAAAAAAAACCCAAAAGAATGGGAACATAAGTGGGGCATACCTGCATATCTTCTGACAGAATAAAACCCCCTTCTGTACCCGTGAAATGCTGAATGGGTTTGGTGCAGAGGCAGCTTACTCTTGCTGCTTGGGTGAACAGTGGTACATGCCCACCTCTCAGGTCAGGCCCTGCCAGCTAAGGGGTGTAGGGAGGCACAAGGCCCACAATGTGTAGGAGAGGCAGACCAGACAGCCAGGTCAGCCTGTGTACCCAAGAATTCATCTACTACTGACTCCTCAGCAGGCCAGAGTAATTGCTACCAGGGAGGCACTCTGTACACCGGGGTCTGCAGGCCTCCCTATGAGGGGCACCAGCCAGGGTAAGGCAGCCCCTTGATAACCTGCCTTCCCATCACTACCATGGCCAGAGAGGTGACAAGAACCTGTTTGCTAATGGGACTGAGGTAGCACAGTCCTGAGGCCACCACTCGACCTCCACAGGTCTCCCCACCTTATTGGGCCACTTATTGGCCCATCTTCTTGGGCAACTGCTATAGGTCAGGATACTATGGCCTAGTACAAGCCCACCAAGACAAGGTAGGGTCAGGCCCTGAGCTGCCCCCTACCTCTGTGCCACTAAGATGGCCTCTGTAACTTGGCAGGTAGAGAGGGGCTGGAGGCAAGGCAGATTCCCAAGTCATAGGACTGCCCCTCACTGTTGGGAGAACCAAAGGTGGGGAAGTAGAACACAAGACAAACCTGACCCCTCTGCGAGGCACCCCAGAGCCACATTAAGGGGCAGTCTAGCTTGAGGCAATCTATGCACAGCCTCACCTCTAGGACAATGAACCAGGTTCTTCTAGAGCGATGATGGCAAACCTTTTATTAGTTTTCAGTGATAACAGCCCACTGTAGCACACATGCCATAAGTTCGCCACCATTTTCCTAGAGGCAGTGAGGAGAGACAGGCCAACATGGACCCTGCTGAGAGGCCACCCCAGGTGAGTGACCCATGAACATAGCATGCAAGTTTCTAAGCCTCAGCCGGCCAGACACAAAGAACACCCTGAAGACTCCTTGGTCTCTGGCCTGCCTCTCTGAGGCCCACTCTCAGAAAGCCTGGCTACCCTTTCCCAGGCTCAAGCTGGGTGTCAGGGTGTGTCCACAGAGCCCTAGCCCTCTACAGGATAGCAAGTCAAGGGCAGGACAGGAAGTATGACCTCAGCTGGACCTCCCCCACTACCCATCTTCATCTAGGCTGCTGCCTTCCTCAGTGGTTGTGCCCTACACCACTAAAGCTGAGCAGACTTGCCTACAAACCCCAGGAGGTCACTAGCACACAAGTTGTCTGCTGACTGGGATGGAAGAGGACAAAACCCAGATATATAATGTCACAGCCTGAGCTGGAAGCATGAGGACCAGTGGACAGCACTGGCCACAGTGGTGGTAGGTTGTCCTTCCCACAAGCCCCCACACCAGTAGCCTGAGGGAAGTCACTTCAGACAGTACTTTATTGACACCCTTAATCCCTGGTCAGCAAATTCCACAGTGTCTCCTCCAGTTGGATCCTGCTGTTGACATCTCATGGGAACAGGAGGGAGCCCCATAGGGGCAAAGAGGCCTCCCAGGACAGGAGAAGGGTGCAGGCAGTCAGGCCACCTGAAAGACTCCAGGCTTAGGCAGGAGATGACTGGCTTTGGCTGTGGACAGTGAGGAGAAGCTGTACTCGGGAGCAGCTCAGGCCCGTTACGAGGGCTCATAGTTGAGCACGTAGTAGTCATGGACATACATGAGCACAGCCATTGGCTGCCCAATGATGAGTGTCAGCCACACAGCTGCATTGCCATAGTTGCCATGGAAGAAGCGGCTCACAATCCATGCCAGTGGAACCTGGAGACAAGTGGGGAGCCACTTGTAGCCACAGTGACTACATAGAATGGGGCTTGGCACAGGAAGGCAGAAGGCAGCTCACTCACCTGAGCCATCATGGCTGTGAAGGCCCAGAGGCGGAACATTCGCAGGGGGATGCTCAACATGTACTGCAGAAAAGGGATAAGCGGCATTAGTGTCTCAGTCATTGGCCACACCCCTGTCCCAAGGTGAGGCAGGACAGCCAAAGAGCACTGACCTCATGGAAAAAGGCTGAAGCTAGGAACACGCCTGTCCTTGCCATCCATTTGCTGCTACCCCGTCGAACCAGGGGCTTGTAGAAATGTCTGCAGAGGAAGTAGCTATGAGACAAAGCCCTGGCCTATGCTATATCCACATATGCACACAGCCACCCACCTAAGGCACCACTTGTGCACTGGGATGTTCCAGTTTTGCCAGAAGTAGCTGACAGACTCGGCATTCCTGGGGGTCAAGAGACAACAGGATAAGCAGAGCACTCTGTGACTGACTGGGCCCACAGGGCCACTCCCAAGGCCACCCACCACCAGTCCCGGTAGAACTCTCGGTCTCCAAACTGCATGAGCTCCGCCACAGCATTCATGCAGGAGTGGAAAAGCCAGTAGAAGAAGATGAGCCAGATGAGATGGTTGGGGACCTGTAGAGGGAGGGGGCTCCAGGTTGCAAAACATTCCTACCCTCACACTCCACCCACCTGCCAACCACTGACACTCACCGCCAGCTTCAGGAGACGTTCAATGATGCGTGAGTAGTCCATATCCTGCAGACACAGACTGCCTCAGCCACTGTGTCCCATTGTCCTCATCCCCCGCTGTGCCTACCCCAGCTGTAAAAAAGATGCTCACCTTGAAGGGCTTCATTGAGTTCTGGATAGTGGGGACCATCCACTGCAAAGGAGGGTACTGTGTCAGTTTCAGCCATGCTGAGCCCTACCACCCACCCCCTTTCCCACTTACCTGCTGGATCAGGCCCACCTGGAGCTGGGTGAAGAACAGCTGACAAAAGACCAGAGAAGCCACTGAGACCCCATCCACCACCAGGCTCTACTCCTGATGGCTCCCCCATCACCAAACCTCACCATCTCAAGGAGTCGCCGTAGCAGAAAGCGTTTTCGGATTCGCGGGGAGCGGGGAAAGTTGAGTTCGTAACACAAAGTAGGGGCAAAAATGAAGTAGTAGAGATCTGGAAGGAAAGGGATGGGCTGGAACCAAGCAGAGATCTGACTACCCCCTCATACACACAAAAGGGCCCAGACTGTAGGTGCTCACCACGGTAGGTCAGGTTGTCCGGGTAACTCACGGTTCCCTGGGCACTGTCCCCACTGGCTTTCTTCCCTACAGAGGCTGAAAGCAAATCAAGGCAGAGAGTGGAGTGAGGTGTGCTACCCAGGTGCAACCTTTGAGTCACGCCCAACCCCTGAAGCCCTCACCATTCTTGGCCTTAGCCCTGTGCTGTCGGCACCACAGGTTGACATCCCGGTAGGAGAAGAGCTTGAGGAAGAGGATGGTGTACGATATCAGAGCCAGCACGGAACCCACTGCAGAAGAGGCATGCTCAGCCACAGCCCGTCCTACCCTAGGGACTCAAGCCATGAGGATGAGCCAGGGCTGGTCCAGGGAATGGAAGCACACCTGGAGTGATGGACTTGACCAGTAAGGCCACAGCTGCTGGGAAGCAGAGAATGGTGACAAGGTTGGCCATGTGCAGCAGCAGCCCCACCTGCTCTGTCAGGGTGCCCTGTTGGGAATGGGTGGAGAGTCAATCAAGGCCTCACTCAGGCCCCCAAGAACTGTGGCAGGAAGAAGGTAGGCACAGCTTACCACTGCAAGGCGCTTCTCAACCTGGAATGCAGCCACAACAAAGCCATTGGCCACTAAGGACAGAAGCATCATGGCAGGTTCAGGGCCCATCAGCCTGGTGCCCACCCACGGCCCTCCTCAGAGCCTAGCTCACCAATAACCAGACATGGGGCAGGCCAGCTGTAGGGATCCTTCAGGAACAGAGACACCACCTGGATGGGGTCCACCAGGATACCATATCTGGAGGTGGGGCAATAGGGGTCTGAGTGGTTGTAGTGCCTGGCCTGGGGGCAGGGCCTGAGCAGGCAGTGGGCAAGGCCTGCAGGAAGTACTCACTTGATGAGGTTCTCCAAAAATAATCGAGCATTGCTCAGGATCTGCAAGAGATCATTAAGAGGGCTCAGCACTCAGAGTACTAAGGTTATCCCACTAGCCCCTCCCAGCTCCCCTTAGCATTTCTGGAGCAAAAGGTCAGGGTGGCAGCCTCTACCTTACAGAACCAGCCCCTTCTGGTCTTGACACTAAACACTGAGATTCACCTCACACTAGTCAGTACAGAGCAGAGAGGTGTCTTAACTGTCCCAAACAGAGGGATCAATCCTATTAGTAGGCATCTCTAGCACTAGGCAGACCTGCAGTTCAGGAGCCCACATCCCCTCTGTCCAAGCTAAACCACTGAGGAAGCCAAAGCCAGATCCTTAGCCTGCCACCAGGGTCTTATCCCCAGTCATGCCTGCCTGGTGAAGCTGGCCCAAAGCTGAACTCTAAGGACTAGTCAGTACTGGGGGTAGGGGTAGAGGTGGTACTCTTGCACTACTCCACAAACCAGGCTGGTCCCTGCGGTGCCCACCTTGGGTACAAGAAGTTTCAGCAGGGGAGGGCAGGCCCTAGCAGAATAGTGAAGATGCCATCATAGCTGAGGGGGGCAAGAGAAGGTATTTTGTCTCTGCTCTGCTTCAGCTGTTCCTTCAGCACTCCAAGCTCTGATGACTTGGTCCAATACACCCTCTAAGGACTGAGCATCCATCAAAACAGACTCCTGACTGTCGCCTGGGACTGGATGCTTGGCCTCCTTATCCACCTCACAAGCACCTGAAAGCCAAGCCTTGATGCCACCACACTGTCCAACTACCTAGAGTTCAGGTCCCAAACAGTAGAGGTGATGGATGCTGTGGAAAAGCAATACCACCAAGGGAACCCTGCAAGGGAAGGCTTTATAGAGGTGGTGACAAGCTCAGACACTACCCCACCTCCAAGACTCCTTTCAGCCTGCTGCCTCAACAAAAATATTGTCACCCAAAGTATGGACTTTCCTGAGAGTGCAGGATGCACATACCATAGAACACTGATGGAAGTCAAAACTGAAGAAAGGCTGTGAACTGTGCCCAAGGGCAAGCAGGCCCACAGGGTTGCAAGAGAACATGAAGTGCAGCCTAGGCTGGATGACGGCCTTCCCTGCCCAGCAGTCTCTATAGACCCCAGCCTAAGTCAGGAATGGGGCCTGTTCCTGTATCTGGAGATTAGGATGGCCTTGTGCCCACCATCTCACCCCTCCAGGCTTCATGACCCCCCCCCACAGGATATGGCAGAAGGTGGTGCATGGAGCTGCTCCACATGAACATCCACAGGAGCTGTGCCCAAAGCACAAGCAGACACATGTGGGTAAAGGTCAAAGGCCTTGGGCCTTATCAGCCCTAGTGGCAGAAGCTGAGCACAAACAGCACCTTCAGGCTGCCCCTTTGAGCCATGGACTCCAACAGCCTCTTGGGTGGGGCTGGTGGCCATGCCCAACAAAGTGTCAGTGGAAACTAGGCCCCAGACATTGCAGACCTTAGACATATCCCAGGGCTCCATCCACTAGGACTTAAGGCTGAGAATGAGGAGCCAGGGGGCTTGTAGCACAGCGGGGGCTATAAAGTGTTAGAGGTTCCATACCCACAAGGCCACACATTTCCAGGGAGGCTTCATACCCACAGAGCACACCCCTTCTCTGCCCACCCATGCCAGCCAGCACAGCTAGGGGGACCCTGCACCCCAGAGGCAGATCCCAGCCAAAACCCTTGAACCCCAAGTATACTGCTAAGCCTCCCCACTATCCCCATGGCCATCCATAGGTCTCTCCTGGGGTCCAACAAGATCCCTGTGTGACCACTGCAAGGACCACTCCTACTTTTCTTACCAGCCCAGGGCTGGCAGCCACATGGGCTGTGTCCTCTCGGCTGCTGCAGTGTGCTTATACCCCTGAGGCAGAGCCTATGCCCAAGGAAAGGCCAGCCTGGACAGCTCTACTACATCTACCTGCAGATAGGCTTGCTCCCATACCCCAGTCTACTTACCAGCATCACCACACACCAATTCAGGATGCCACGGTAGTTGCTGAAGCCACTGTTAGAGCTGAACAAAGAATCCTGTAGGCGATGGCACCTGGCAGAGCAGGGGACAGGCTCCTCGGTAAGCAGATGCCAACAGGGAAGGGCTAGGTACACCATTATGATCCATCTCTTCTGCTCACACATCCCATTCCACATTTACAGATGGAAGGAGAAGCCAGACTAGGCCATGGCGCTACAGCCACATGGCCTGCAGTGGGCAGAGCTCTCAGGACCACCCAGAGGTCTTCAGATAACAAGAGGGGGTACATCATAGTAGCCAGGAGCTGGCTGGGCCTACATGGGCTTGATCTTCCCATGCCAGTACCCTGGCCTTGCTCACCAGAGGCCCTGACTACAACCAGACTCTCAAGGCACCAGAGAATCCAACCCAAGGATATGTGGGCTACCTAGTACTGCAGTGCTAGGATAAAAGGGTAAGGGTAGAGTCCACCCTGTTCAGTAGGCCCACATCCACCTAAGGAGACCAAGAATCCCCACTATAGCCCAGAAGAGCCTCGTCCCTACACTTGGCCACATAGGACTGAGGGAACACAGGGACTCAGTAAAACATCTGACCAAGCACCCTGCCTAACTTGCACCTTTCTTGGTCCTCGTACTCATAACAAGCACTGTGCTCATGCCTGGGCTGGGAATGCCAAGAATCCATCTGAGGGCCAGGTACCTGATGGTAGGGGCCTGCAGCAGAAGCAGGTCCCATCAGTGAAAGCACTCATCCAATGTTGCAGGGGGAGACCCATAAACAGGCCCTGCCTGTGAAGAATACTGAGGCTGGCAGAGAGGACACTGTGGCTAGGACAAGGCCCTACCCCAGCCCCTGGCAAGGAAAACGGGAACAAGACCCAAACTCATGAGCCAGGAAACAGCACCCTGGCTCACTCACCAGCTGCAGCCCTGCCTTGACCTCTAATGGCAGTGCCTCTAGGAAGCTCTTCACAGCATTGAGCAAGGCCTTGGTTTTGTAAGAGGAGAAGCGAAGGCCTCCCTTTTCCTCTCACCACACCAATCTCTACCTCAGAGCATCTGGGCAATGGGAGCAGGGTGGAGGGTCCATAGCAGAGGCACCATGGCAGATGTCCTCTCAGGGCTGGTCTGGGTGCTCAGCAAAAGTATGGCTCTGGTCATGCTTTTCTCCGGGCACCAAGGCACTGAGGGGCAGTGTTAACTGGCCCAACCCTGACCCTCCGATCAATATCTGCTTGGACCTAGACTCATCCACATCATCTCCCAGCAGCCCCTGGGAAGGTGGGCACACCCTTCCTCCTGCCCTTCTCAGACTGCTGCACCATGGTGAATAGCTCTACGCCAAATCCAGTCTCAACCACTGTCCACCCCGCTCCTCCCAGACTCAGGCCTGGGTTTCCAGCATCTACCAACTTAGGTCTAACTTGACCCATAGTGAGGCTGTGGTCTTTTTTCCTTCTTTCTTTCTTTTTTGTACCAGGGATCAAACTTAGGACCTGATACTTGTGAGGCAGGCATAGCACCACTGAACTAAATCCTCAGCTGTATGAGGCTGTGGTCTTACCTGAGTCCCTTTTCTCCTCAACTCTGTGCCTACCTTTATAACCAACAATAGTTGGTGGTTGGGCACCACCCTAAACTAAATATACTACTACCTGTCCTCCCCAGAGCCATAGCACCAAGAGGCAAACAGATAGCCTCTCTGGACCTGTCTGCTAGACTAGGCCTTCCCACTGTGCCTGTCTACCGGCTGAAGCCCACTCTCACTAGAACTATCCCAGAGTGTTCTGGCTGGCCTCCTTGAGCCATCACCATCAACTGCCGTCTTCACAGTATCATGACTGTTTCATAACAGTGTGACCTCTGCTCTCTTTGGCCGCCAGTGATGCAGTGCTATTTTATCTGTGGCCATCCCCAACATGAAAACAGTAGAAAAAGGGTTTTCCTTTACAAAAACACCACCAGGCAATGTTATGAGAGCTTTTTCAATTTGTTCTTATGGGGCTCCAAGCCCTTCCTTGACCACCCACACCCATGCACCACGTCCTCCCATGGCCTGTGAACTAGTCCCACCCTTAGGCAGCAGCCACATTGCATACAACCTCAGCCGGTGCTGCTCCCCCACCCCCTCACAGGTCAGAGGCCTCTGGCCCAGATGGAGAATACCCCCATATACCAAGGCCCACAAAGATACAGGCTTGCTAGTGTGCAGCAAGTAGGCCATGCCAAAACTGACTTTGTCACCCTCTCACCTATTGGAGGGCCTGCCAGTGCCCTGTGCCTTTCAGCTGTCCTATACTCACTCCTCAGGGCCAAAAGGACAAGAGCCCTTCTCTCTTGACCCTCTAGGCTTAACTAGGTGGACTGCAGAGTGCCTTCTCCTTCCTAATTCTCACCTATAAACCAGGTACACACCCATCCTTACAATATACCTGCCAAGGTCTGTATCATGCCCAAAGGCTCAGCCTCCAAGTGTGGACCTCTTGAGGACCACATGGTCCAGATACAGGGTCAAGCAGCATGGTGTGGGGCACAGACTGCCAGTTCTCCTTCCAGCTGCCAGCTCTTTGAAACTTCCTTTATGCCACCCTTTGGCCAACCCCTGGGTTGCAAGAGGTAAGGAGGACACCCTATAGGACAAACACCCTATGAGAGTGCTGGTGAGCCTATGGCACACATACCACAGTGGGCTGTTTGTTATTGTTGAAAGCTCTAAAAGGTGGGCCAGGGATTTAGCTCAGTGGTTCTGCCTGCAGCCTGCCTTGTAAGCTCAAGGACCCAAGTTCCCCGGTAGCAAAAAAAGCAAAAAGAAAAGAAAGCTCTAAAAGGTTCACCATCACTACACTAAGAGAACCCAAAACCAGAAAGTTCTACCTAAGTGTGCTCATAAACCAACAGCCAGCTGAAGTGTCCAAAGCCCCAGTGTGAACAGCAGGCAAAACAGGAAAGAATGAGCCGGGAATTTAGCTCAGTGGTTCCACTGCCTGCCTTGCAAGTGCAAGTGAGTTTGATCCCTTGTACCACAAAAAAAAAAAAAAAAAAAAAAAAAAAAAGATACACAAAACAGGAAAGAATGCCTCCTTTTACTGCCTCATATCCTCACCCTGCCACAGGGCAGAAAAAATGAGCTCATACCCAGAATCTAGTTTATCTGCCCAGTTCAATGTGAACAGAAAATATTGGGGACTGGAGGGGGTGAGAGCTCAAAGAATCAGGAGGAAAGAGGAGAGGAAGGATGGACTGGGCCAAAAGCAGCAATAAGCAGGAAAGAGGGAAGACTGGTAGGAGAAGGGTGAGCTTTGGGCCAGCCAAGTCTCAAGAGGGCAGCCCAGACTAAAGGCTGGCCCACCAGCAGGAAAATAAAGTCTAGCAGGGCATGATGGCACACACCTATAATCCCAGCTCTTGGGAGGCTAAGGCAGGAAGACTGCCATGATTTTGGGGCTACCCTGGGCTACACAGTTAAAGGCCAGCTTGAACTACATAGTGAGGGCCTATCCCAAAAAACAAAAACAGTCTGATGTGATGATGCACACCTATAATCTCAGTATTTGGGAGGCTGAGGCAGGAGGATCACCATAAGATGGAGGTCAGCCACATAGTGAGCTAGAAGTCAACCTGAACTACATAGTGAGACCCTGTCTCAAAAAAAAAAAAAAAGGAGTCCAGCATCCTTACCAACAGGTCTTGAGCCCTGTTTCTTTCTTTTTTTTTTTTTTCTTTTTGGTTTTTTGAGACAGGGTCTCACTATGTAGTTGAGACTGACCTATAACTCACTATGTAGCCCAGGCTGATCTCGAACTCACAGCGATCCTCCTGCCTCAGTCTCCCGAGTGCTAGGATTACAGGCATGCGCCACCATGCCCAACTGAGCCCTGCTTCATTCTCAGGGCTGAGGGAGGTAGACACAAAGCATGCATGTCCTGGAGACCCACAAGTAGATTATCAACTGACTCGTTCCTCCAGCCCTGGATAGTATCCTCTCTGCCATCTATCAATGCTCTTCCAAGGACATAAAACCTCCACTAAACTGGCCTTTCCCACTAGCCTCACAGGAGCCTCATGCCAGGTGAGACAGAAAAAGCTTTCTGGCTAGTGAAAAGCATGAGCATGACTGCTCTCTACCTTTCCCTACGTGGCAGTCTCAATCTCATACCAAGAACACCAATTCTTTTTTTTTTCTTTTTTTTTTTTGGTTTTTTGAGACAGGGTCTCACTATGTAGTTGAGACTGACCTGGAACTCACTATGTAGCCCAGGCTGGTCTCAAACTCACAGCGATCCTCCTGCCTCAGCCTCCCAAGTGCTGGGATTACAGGCATGCGCCACCACGCCCCGCCTTGAGAACACCAATTCTTAACCACTCCAGAAGTCATACTAGCCATTCCCCTACCTCCTGGAGAGGACAATTTGGGGCAGTCACAAGGGGGACTTCCTTCTGGGCGGGAGGTACAGGGCCAGCCTCTCTGTACCACCCCTCTCAGGAGGACCAGCCTCCTCCCTCACAGTGCTTTCATGACTCCATACCTGACCTTTGCTCACACTGTGCCATGTACGCCTCACACTAAGGTTATCTCATCTGCAAGGTGAACCAAAGAACCCCAAGGGAAGTGACAGGGCCTGCACCACAACTGTCCTCTCTTGGCCCACATACACACACTGAAGATAGGCTTGTTTATTGAGAATGTTACCCATAAGCAGGGCTCCAGGCCTCCCCAGCCTCTGGGTGAGGGATGAATGAACTCTGGGGAAGATCTGCAAAGACAAGAATGCCTTCTGCATTGGCCCTTGCCCCGGGCAGATGCCCACTCTCCTGATTTCAGACAGAGCTGAAGCAAGATGGGCCCTCCCTGGCAGACCAGCCTCTTCTAAGAGCCTTTCCCACCCCCCCAAGGGCACCCTGCAAGGCCCTCAGAAGGGCCACCTCACCCCCTCTCAAACACCTCCTTCCAGACTGGAAGCCAGAGCTACTGGACAAGCGTCAGTCTTTGAGGACTTGTCGGAAGGGCGCCCACCTGCCAGACCGCTTTTGCTCCCCACCCACCCACACACACTGCTCACTCCTCGACCCAGGGTGACCTTGGCAGCTGATCCTCTGTACCAAAGCTTCGGTGTCCCCCCCAGGGCACAATGGTCCCGGACTTAGGCCTGAACCACTGAGGCCGCTCCGGAGAGACAGAGAGCAATGGGCTCTGGGTCAGAGGTGAGAGATAAGGCACTCCGCTACCTCAGCTCCAAGGGGCCGCTGCCCACTCTGGCGTCTCTGTCTTTGTCCCGGGCCAGGGCCGGAGCGTCCCCCCGAGCTCCTACGTCGGGGCTTGCGACAGAGTCCCGCACCTCCTCCGCCGCCGCTGCCGGTCCGCCG